CGTGTTGTTCAATTTACTCTACAAACTCCTCTCTAAACACTTTCATCAAATTTATAAGAGAGAGAGGGAATGGGGGAGAGAGGAATGCATATTACAAAGTTTACTATACAAATAATTTAAATTAAAATCAAAATTAAATAAAAAAATGTTTGTTTGTATTTTGACGCGTGTGTCGTGTCCGTTTGGACGCTATCAAGACTATGTGCCACAAGGTAATACCTGAGAGATGTTCCTCCTCAGGTATTACCTTTCGTATTAACGCACATAAATTAACATAGTTAACCAATAAAAAGATGCAATAAAACCTGAGAGATCAAAGACAACAAATGCTCCACACATGATCAAAGAAAGAAATACATTCAAATATTAATTTTAAAGATGTATTTCTAATCCACCCAGGCCAGACCAAAAATTGAAATATGTGGATTAAGATGGTTCTCTTTGAGTAAGCACAGCACAAGGAGATTCATTCAAAACATGTGACTTATTTAAATGTATTTCTTTGTTGATGTCCACAATTGGAAGTTTTCCGTGCCCGGATCAATTCTGAAAAGCATTTCATAAGTCACATGTGAAAGCATTTCTTTGATCTGGCCTGAGTGAGCTCACTTATACAGAGACACTCTTAGAAGGCGGCTAAAGTCACAATACTTAACATGTGACTGAATCGTGTTTTGAAAGTGTAAATTGTAAGTTTTTTTTGTTTATAAGTTGATTATCATGTTTTGATTGGACCGTGTAGGCTTCTATAAGCCCTTTATCTTGGCTTGATTTCACCGTCTTTTTTATTGTACCTGTGCTTTTTTTTAACGTGAGTGTGTAACGAGCTTTGTAGCCCATGGTGAGTAATATGAACGATCGAACAAGATGCATAGACAATACAATAGTCTTTCAATTAACCTTTTCGTGATAACTTACATATGGTGAGATGTCCAATCAATTCATTTTATAATGGAATATATATAAACTCGCCTAGACTCGGATAGTTCTTAATTCTCAAGATAAAGATTTCAGTTCTTAATCCTCATATTTGTGATGATATCTGTCTTGTGCCGTCTGTCCGCTTATTTTTCTATGTTGTGCGCATTAAGAAAATATGCAAGTATAATATGCAAGTAACTTCGCACATAATATACACACGTTTATTTTCCTATGTTGTGCGCATTAAAAAAAAGCGGACAGAACGAGCACGGGAGTGCCCGTCTGAATGCTAGTCTTATATAAAGATTTTGAGTATCCATTATACTCTCTTAAGTTAATTCTATTGGTTATTAAAAAAAACCCTACATAATCTACAAAGAAAGAACAAAAGAGAAAGTGCATATATAACATGAACTAATATGAGCATTATTATTGATTGCAACTTCATAATAATTTAAGCTCTCTACATTACCTTAAAAAGTGCATATGAACTAATATGAGTATTATTATTTTAAATATTGTACCTTAAAAAGTGCATATATATATATATATATATATATATATATATATATATATATATATATATATATATATATATATATATATATATATATATATATATATATATATATATATATATATATATATATATATATATATATATATATATATATATATATATATATATATATATATATATATATATATATATATATATATATATATATATATATATATATATATATATATATATATATATATATATATATATATATATATATATATATATATATATATATATATATATATATATATATATATATATATATATATATATATATATATATATATATATAACATTTAAGCAAATACTTTTTGGAAGGAGAAATTATATAGACTCTTCCGATAAATGAGTGATTTTCTCATAATGTATGCGCACTAAAAAAACATGTGCACATTTTAAGACTACTCGAGTATATTTAAAAATATTATTTTTAATTCTAAGTATGATAAAAACTTCATTCAAAATATACACATGTTTTCAAACACAAAATATATATACAACATTTTATGTATTTGCTATAAGAAGAATAATTTGATCACTTTATATATGAATGAGATAGAAAACAACTTCATATATTTTGATATAACCCTTACATTTATCCATTAACATTTTATTTTTTAAAATATCTATATTTTCTATAAAAATAAAAAACACAAGTATTTCACATATTTATTTTGTTATTAAAAAATTTGAGTATCGGCGGAAGAGTAACGTTGATAAATTTGGTGTTGAACACAATTCCTATCTTCACACTCTCGTTTTATAAGGCTCCGGTGTACATCGTTAAAGCAATCTCTAAAATTCAAGCTAACTTCCTTTGGGGCGGATTGTCGGCTAATAAGAACATTCATTAGATGAGTTGGAAACAGGTTTGTTTATTGAAAGAGCTAGGCGGTCTTGGAATCAAGGATATAACAACCTTTAACAAAGCTCTTTCGTTGAAATGGAAGTGGAGAATCATCTCGGAAGATGGAACTCTTTGAAAAGACATTCTCAAATATAGGCTGGTTTGGATTTAATTTTGGATAGTGGTACAAATTGTGCATTGAAGAATATATGGTCTTCGAAAATGCCTTCAAAAGTCCAGGTTCTATTATGAAGACTTTTCTGAGACAGGTTAGCAACTAGAGAACAATTGCATAGGAGAGGTATTAACTTTGGCAACGATAGTCTACAGTGCACAGGATGTATCGAGAGGTATTAACTCTGGCTCAATTGAATCCTCTCTCCATATTTTTATGGATTGTTTGTTTGCAGTAAAAGTTTTGAGTTGTGTGGAGATTTAGTTAGACTTAGATATCGAGAGGAAGTCGAACTGCGGATCATCCTTTATAAGTTTCGTCAAAAGTTTGAAGAAAAAGACGGGCAATGTCGTTGGTAATTCTATATGGGCTTTTTTGGTTTGGTGTATTTGGAAGAGTATAAATAACTTTACTTTTAGAGTTGTTCCATATAGTATAGTATAGTAGAATCGTCAATTCAATTAAGTTTATTTCTTGGAGATGGTTCAATTCTATCTGCAAATTGGATCACTCATATATTTTTTATGAGTGATTTTCGTCTCTATTGTGATGTATGTTGTGGGAGTAATTTATGTCGTTTATATCTTGTATAAAATCAGATTTTGAGTATCCCTTATACTCTCTTAAGTTAATTCTATTGCTTATTAAAAAAAAACCTACATAATCAACAAAGAAAGAACAAAGGAGGAAGTGCATATATAACATAAACTAATATGAGTATTATTATTGATTGCAACTATATAACTAAGTTTTGCAAGCAATGAAATTTTAATGCACTTAAAATTATGATTAAATTAGTTCAGTTAGTAGTTATGCATAAATATTTTGTAATAGTATAAATTCAAATTCGTGACAAACTACTTATTCATTTTGAAAATATGAAATTCTAATAATTAGACTACTTGAAGAAAAAAAAATGTAATGATTATATTAAGCATTAACTATCGGTTGTGATTATAACATTTGAAGATCAAATTAAATATTCTCGAAATAATTTTGATGAAAGTTAATGGCTATCTACATTTGTTGTGTTTGTTTGAGATTTAGCACATCTATGATTGAATTTATTACTAATGATAAGATCTAGATTGTGTTATTTGAGTTATCTAAAATGTGATTATTAAGTTTCTGGAAAAAAATTGGACACACATAAATTCTACATTAAATAAATTATCTAATTTTGTATAATGAATAATTTGTCAGTTAAATTCACTTTTTTTAAGTGGCCTCGTTAGATAATAACCTTCTATAACTCATCTTTTGAAAGACCACTTGAAAGAAAAGTGGTTGTTGGATAAGTCTCCATAATTTTTGTGTTTTTTTTAAAGAATGGACGGTGTAACTATATTCATCTTATGTAATGATTTTATATTTTGTTTGTTTATTTGTTATCATATGTTTTTGGATTTTTTTCTTTACACTTTTTTTGTTTGTTTGTATTTTTCTGTTTATGTGGATTTCTATGAAAAACTGAAATACACTCTAATTTGGACGGTTGTCAATTGAGTGACGTAAATAAATTCCATGAATTTATTAAAATAAGAAATTGTAAAGAGTGAAGAGAAAAGAGAGAGGTGTGGATACAATTGGTAGATAATAAAATTCAAAAAATATAAAGAAAATTAAGGTAAAGAAAATGTGGTTAAGGTAAAGAAAATGTGGTGTTTTTTTTTTTTGTCTTTAAAGTTAGAGAATGTATTTACATTATAAATCCTATCCATTAGCACGGGTTCTGTGTCCGTTGTCTGTTTTTTTATACACTTATACATAAAAATATATATGATATATTTTTTTTAATTTTAATTCTAATTAAAATTATAGATATTTGAATTTGTGGTATGTGTATTTAAATATAATTTTAAATGAGAAATTAAAGTCAATTTTCTTTTCAAATAATTAATTACTTTCACTTGCCTACAATATTCAAATATAAAATAGGGGGAGTAGTTAATTTTTATTTGTGTAACTTCTAGAACTTCTAAGTAGTTTTGAATAGCAACACAGAAAAGAAAATAGACTACAAAAAAAAAATATTTTACCTTTATATATTACTCGCGTCCAGAAAGACACTGTCTATCCGCTTTTTTAATGCTAATAAAAATATAAATAATATATTTTTTTTAAATAAAATTTAAAAAAAATATATTATTTGAAAGTTAATAATAATAAATTATGTGAAAATTAATAATAAGAAGTTACGTGGAAGTATGTGAAAGATATCGGTATTCCACTCATGTTTTCTTTGGTGAAAAAGGAGATGTTAGTTTAGGATAATTCTGGAAGAAAAAATGGCCACACAAAAAACACTTATCATTTATTTGAAAACAGGAGAGAAAATTTAGTAATAAAAAATAAATTATAGAGGGTGTAAATGTAATATATATATATATATATATATATATATATATATATATATATATATTTCCCAGTATTTGCTCACAGCATAACCTTCCTTGAATTGAAAACCAAATAACTCTTCCTGAACCACTAAGATGACAAAACCAGGTCACATAAATGCTGCTTTCCGTTCATCTTTCCACAATGAAATTTACTTTTTCGTCGATGATAAGTACTTCTTGTTTGAATTATTTGCAAACGAACGCACAAGCGAACGGATTTTCTACGAGCTTACTCCTCTTCGTGATGGTTTCAAATCACTTAACCATACCATTTTTGGAACCTACGGAATAGATTGTAGCTTTGACACCGATAACAACGAAGCATACATCTTTTATGAGAACTTTTGTGCTCTCATAGACTATGCGCCGCACTCCGACAAAGACAAAATCATCTCGGGTCCTAAAAAAATTTCAGACGCGTTTCCTTTTCTGAAAGGAACCGTGTTTGAAAACGGAGTAGATGCGGCTTACAGATCCACAATAGGTAAAGAAGTTTACTTATTCAAAGGAGACAAGTATGCTCGTATAGACTATGGCAAAAACGAGCTTGTTCAAAGTATTAAGAAAATTACGGAAGGTTTTCCTTGTTTCAGTGGAACGATCCTTGAAAATGGAGTTGATGCAGCTTTTGCTTGTCACATTCCCAATGAAGTTTTTTTCTTCAAAGATGAATACTATGCGCGTGTAGTTGTTACTCCAGGTGCAACTGACGATTACATTAAGAATGGTGTGAGGAAAACTCTTGAATTTTGGCCAAATCTTAATGGCATAAAAGGTCTTCTTGATTAAGCAGCTTTTTCAAACTGATGATGTCGCTTTTGAGAAATAAATGTATGTGTGGTTGTATGGTCCTCATGGTAGTACGATAATTAAGGTTGTTATTTTTATATTTAAATTGTCAAATAATATTGTTGTCGTTGATGCGTGTATTCTTATTGGTGTTATATGTGTGTCACTGTTTCCTTATATGATTGTTGATGTAATAAAAGTTTGGCTTTTTGTTGGTGGCGTTTAGTGGTTGTTTCCATCTGTTACTTATGCAAACTGTACAATGACTACGTTGGATGAAAATGATGGCTTAGTATTGGTTATGATGTATTGGATGAAAATGATGGGTTAGTATTGGTTATGATGTATTGATGTATTGGATGAAAATGATGGGTTAGTGTTGGTTACTATCAATTCACCATTTCAAATCACTTACTTATGCAAATTGTTCATGCACATTTTAACAGAGACACTTACGTGTCTATGATATATTTGGTTTTGGATTTCAAAATATTGATGTTATTCGATTAACAATAAATTGAAAATTAAATTTCTTGCATTTCAAAGAGCGTATAGAGTCAAAGATATTGTCTATTCCAATATCTCAAATCATATATAGGAGTCCTATTTTTTTTTAAATAGTCAAGCGAAGTATTTGCAATTGAGTGGAGACAGGCCATCCTCGGATCTGTTCTACAATCCTTCTCAACAAATCGAAGGTGTCTTGAAAGTGGGGAACTAGTACCGTACAAAAGCAGAGTGCATGCAAGCTATAATAAAATTTCACATGGATAATTTTGTTGATTTTGAAGTAAACCGCAATGATTCAAAACGCTATGTCGTAACGAACTTCGCAAGCTTCGGGTAGCAGCGTCCTATCGAAAGAGAAGTGGTTGTTGGGAGATAGGTTCGATTGATCCACCTCATAGTTGCACAACCAACATTAATCGGCAAGATCATGGTAAAATAAGCTCCTAATTAATATGACAAGAGATTTTGCATCTTGTGGGCGTAGATCCATCTATGAAGGTGAGCACAAATATCTCTCTTGTCGTTGCACAATTCAACTATACTCCATCATACAGAAAAGCTTGGATTGCAAGAATTAAAGCGGTTGAACATGTATATGGGAATTGAAAAAAATCTTACAATCAACTTCCATAGTATTTGCTAGTACTTCAAAAATATGTTCCTGGTATGGTTGTAATATTGGAGTCGCTTCCAGCATACACTCCTGATGGAACGTGTGTTGATGGAAGTAGGATATTCTCCCGCCTCTTTTGGACATTTCAACCGTGTATCAAAGGTTTTGCGTTCTGCAAACCTGTTATTCAAGTCGATGGAACATGGTTGTATGGAAAATACAAAGGAATATTGCTGATGGAGGTTGCACAAGACGAAAATAATAATATATTTTCGATTGCCTTTGCTCTGGTCGAAGGTGGGACGGGTGAAGCTTGGAGTTTCTTCCTCAAAAATCTCAGAACACATGTCGCCTCACAACCCAACTTATGTCTAATTTTCGACAAACATGTCTCCTCTATTTTGAGCGCTTACAATAATCCTGCTAATGGTTGGCACAATCCTCCTTGTGTCCATGTCTACTGCATAAGACACATTGCGCAGAATTTTATGCGGGAAATCAAAGACAGAAATCTCGGTAAAAAAGTTGTGAACGTGAGGTATGCCTTAAACCAACCATCGTTCATGTATTATCGTGAAGAAATAAGATTGTCAAACCGGAAGCATTAAGCTGGGTGGATAGCATTCCATTGGAGAAATGGACAAGGGCTTTTGATGGAGGATGCCGATCGGGTCACATGACAACAAACCTTGTGGATCCTTAAACGACATATTTAAGGGAACTAGAAACCTCCTCATCACTATGTTGGTAAGAGCAATCTATTATAGATTGGGGTCACTTTTTGCGGCAAGAGAAAAAAAATGAAGCGTTGTTTTAGAATCAGAGCAATTATTCAGTGAAACCTGCATGAAATATATGAAGGAGGAAACTGTTAAAGCGGTTTCACATCAAGTTAAAGCATTTGACTGTCACGATTACAACTTCATATGTTGACGAGACAAATGATCACAATGAGGGTCGGCCAATGGGATACTACAGGGTGGAAATTCATAAAAATTGGTGCGACTGCGGAAAGTTTCAAGTCTTCTGTATGCCTTGCTCACATGTCATTGCGACATGTTCTAGTGTTCGTCAGGATCCATTCTTGCAACTATCAGAAGCTTACAAGGTCGTGAACTTATTCGATATCTGTAATAACAGTTTTCCAGTGGTAGCTAGTGAGGACTATTGGTCAACCTATCATGGGGACACAATTTACCAATACGAAAACATGAGAAGAAAAAAAAGGCCCGCCCCAAAAGCACGCGAATTAGAACTAAAATGGATACAACTGAGAAAATTGAAAGATTGTGTGGAATATGTCATCTTCCCGGGCATACGAGGAAATGTTGTCCAAATGTTGAAACAAGTTCTAGATAGATTTACTTTTGTCATTAGAAAAGTTGTAACCTTCAAATTTAATATTTATAACAACTTCTGGTTACAAGAAAACAAACTGAAATACTTCTAAAGCAACACACAAACCATTAAAAATATTGAGATTAATACAACATAAACTAGGATATAACAACAATAAAAATAATAACATCAGTTCCAAACATCATAGATCTAACGTTGTTTTCATCTTAAATTCGCAGCCACTCACGCTGTATATTGCCATCTACAATCGAGAAGTAAGAAACAAGTCTTTCAACACTTCTAATTCTTTCACCATCTGAAATGTTTTCTTCAAACCAACGATTCAAATTCCTTCGTAGTTGCTCTAAACTTTGGATGTTCCAGAACAACATCCTTATCAAAGCTTGGTTCTTGAAAAAATGACATGCCCATATCTTCTAAGATACATGATTGAATTTGCTAAAGTTGTAAGAAATAATGACAATTTAAGTGCGAAAGAATATACAAGGCATGACATCTATTTATACAAGAAAAATTTCAAATAAAATCATAATAAATATTATAATATTATATAATATATGAATTAATAAAAATTAAATATTTTATTACAAAGTAAGGTGACTCCAATGTATTTGGCACCCCCTTTATAATTTAAGAGGTGACTCCAATGCATTTGGCGCCCCCTCCTAAATTCTAAAGGAGACTTCAGCCCAGATGGCGCCTCCCTTTGAATTTTAAAGGGGGAGCCATTTCAAATGGCGCCTCCCTTGATGGAAAACTTTTTTTTTTTTTTTGAAATTTGGGTAGTTTAGAAATTTTGTTGGAAAGGTGGGTAGATTGAAAAATATTATAGGAAAACATGGTTATTGGCGTAAAATTTTCATAAATAAACAAGTTTTAAGTAGTTTTTTGCCGGATGAAAATGATGGGTTATAGTATTGGTATAAATAAACAAGTTTTAAATAGTTTTTTGTTTTTTCGTCTACGTAAATTTTAATTTTTTTTATTTTGATGTTGATCTTAATCTCTGTTTTTTTTATTGGAGTCTCTGTTATTTTTATGTTGACGTTAATCTCTAACTTTAAAATTCTCTTAAAAAAAGATATATGTGGTAAACGTTGCTGACTTAATTTTTATTTTTTAATATTATTACAGGTGAAAATGCAAATTAGAAATTATTAAAATAAGAGATGAAATTCAAAATTAATTTTATTTTGCAACTTCTTCTCTCTTTTCATTACTGTTACCTTCATCTTCCTCTACGCGTTCATTCATTGCTTCTTCCTTAATTGTTAAGTTTAATATGTTTCAAATCCCATTATGATGTTGTAATAGATCAATAGAATTGTTCATATCAAACTAACTTGAAAATCCATTGCCTCTGAAGTCATGGATAAATGTGTTGAGGAAGAAGAAGCTAACGATAACACAGAGAAAGAGAGAGAGAAAGAGAGAGAGAAAGAGAGAGTTATTCACATATATTTTTTTTAACATAACTTTGACGTCAAAGATAGAAACATATAGGAATTTCAGGAAAAAAAAGATTTAGAAACCAAAAAAAAAAAACTCATCAAATTACAAGAATCAAAAAACTACTTAAACAAATAAACAATGTCATATAATAATTTATCTCATAATTGAAAAATATAAGTATTGTATTTTTTTTTTTATAAATCGAATATCTACCTGAAATTCTAGAGATTAATTGAAAGAGATTCCTAATTGGATATTATTCTTTTCAGTGTGATTTTTCTTAAATCAATTAAATTTAGTTTATTTTTTGAATTAATTATTTAAATAAACATGTAAAAATGATAAAACTGTACCTGGAGTTGTTTTAATTAAATTATAATTAGAACAAAAATTTATATATAAAAACTATTAATTTACTAATATTATAATTATTATTAGTGAAATGTAGTTAAAGACTCGATAGTATTTGGTTGAGATGATAAATGTTTCTTCTAATTTATTCAGCTGTTATGAATTCGAATTCAGTCTTAAACACACATTAATGTTAAATTTTTTGATGAAGAGCTTTGTTGTCTCTTCTGGTCTTCAATATTTTATTAATTTTTTTTGAAAGAACTGTCTTTTATAAAAATATATGTCACAAGTAAATTAATTAATAAACTATTTAACTTTTGTAAAATATAATTTTTTAATTACAATGCCTAAAAGTGTTATAAAAAATTTAAAAAGAATAATATTTCTTATAATACAAAGGTTTTTTATTAAATGAGCAGGTGTAATTATTGATAGATATTGGAAGAAAAACAATTATAAAGTAACATTTTTCTTTTTAAAAATCAAATTTATAAAAATAAATTAGATGAAACTCTAATTTTAATAGCAATTAACAAACTCTTATCATTATTATTTTTATTATTAATTGTTTTTGTTCACTATACAAATATGAAATATCATCTCTGGTCGTTTTTTATAAAAAAAAGTTCAATTTTAAATTTTTTGAATATTTGATATATTTGTTTTAAGGCATCCTAATTCACAACATATTGAAGTGGTGAGCGTGGAGAAG